TTTTTATTATTACTGAGTTCAGTTTGAATCAGCCCCCCTGTTTCTCGCAGAGCTCTGGTGACGAAGTTAAGTTCAAGTGGGCGTGGTTTCGCTGTACTGGACTACCTGTGCTGCCAGAGCGCATCTGATCTCTGAGTTAAAATCCAAAAACATGGAAGCCGCAAGAAATCCAGGTAAATACAATGCTTGCTTTTTATTTCAACATCTGTTAAATATTCTTCGCATGATGTATTGCTGTTAATGCAATGGTGTTCTCTAATTTGAAACGAAATTTAAAATCGAGTAAAGAGCAAAGAGCGCACTAAAGACTGTCAATACACTCTGGAAATCTTACAATCTAATGTGACAACCGCTTAAATCCATTTAAACAGCAAAACCAATAAATAAATGCATAAACGCTTTGGTGCAGTTTATTTGATCATTTTAAGCATGTTTTCGTTAGATGGTCGTCGAGTCCGTGTCTGCCCTCCCTCCCCCCGCTCGCACTGAGATCGCTTTGTACATCTGTGCGTTTATATGTCTCATATGTACATATGTATATATGTTTATTATCATTCAACACATCAACTAATGGGATGTAAAAGCATTATATGGGCAAAGGCGTCTATGTCTGTAACAGTAAACAGCATTGACCCTAAGCTGAACCCTAACCACAGCCTAACCACTAGTAAAAAAAAAGAAAAAAAAAAAAAGTGAATTTTGAATTTTTGAAACATGATAAGTTATTCACGTGTTACACCGTGTCCTCTGTTGCGGACACCTTACAATATATATAGAAAGATATAACAGATGTTTTGATAGACCATTTTTTTTTGTGCAAATGTAACTTGTTGTGTCTCCCAAAATGCCCAATAAACATGCTTTAAGTCATGTTGTCCTCTAAAAGTGGACATGTATGAAATCAATGTCCTGTTTCACACCAGAAAGTCATATTTTGCTTTGAAACCCCTTAACGTTTTCCTGAGATATTGATTTATGACACACAATTTGAAAATGAGTAAGATTTAAATGATCATTACAAACTATTATCATATCTCCATGAGGGTGCTCAATTGGAGTACTAAATTAAAGTCAGCTATTTTTGTCAGCTAAGACCAAGGAAAGGGAGTGAAACTTACAAAACTTACAATTATTTGGTATCTCTGAAAAGCAGGACAGGCCTTCCAGACTTTAAACTGAGGATCTCAGAGATCTCAGAGAATTCACTAAAGAGTGATGTTCTCTACGGAGGACAAAACTCCATAGCTGGTAGCCAGGATGATATAGAAATGTGCGGAATAATGAAACGTAACGTCAACGCAAAACTGCAACCATATGTTTTATCTGTGTTCAAATTAAATAAATATCCATGTGTGTTTTTCTGTTTGTCTAGACATCATCACACTTTCCGAAGATGAGGAAAGCATCCATCCTGTGAGTATGCATTCATATTGTTTAAGTGAAGGGGAGACCGAGTAATCAGAAAAGAGCTGTGGTGCTGTCATTAATATCATATGGGTGATTCTGTAATTGGAGATACATTTTGCATTTCAGAAATTTAAGAGAAACAAAAATATTCAGTAACATTTTTTTTTCTTCTTTTTTTTTTTGTGTAAAAAAATTAATATCTTTATTGTATTGTTTGTGAAGTCTGTTACAGACAAATTAGGCAATGCGTAGAAATAACAATAAATCATAACATGAAAAATCCTTCTTGTTTCATTAGACAAACAGTCCTTACATTCCAACACTTTAAACTGAGACAATATTTCACCTATGCATACTTTAATAATAACAATAATAATAAAGAGTTGATCATTTAAGTAACAGAATTGACTGCTGAACTGTCAGTTCTGTTATACACACTGTCAACATTGTTACTCTACTTTGGTAACAGAGTTTGACAGGAACAAAATTGACAAATTATTATTATTATTTTTTAACCAAAACATTCCACTTGCTAACATGAATGTTACAAGCACATGGCACTAAAGAAATCATGATTAAAATATGTTTTAGTAACCCAATGTGTGATAAAGTTTAAATTCTGTTTTCCTTTTGATATTCTGCTAACTGTTTTGAGGTTTTAGAAAATAACACTTGGTGTAAAAACTTTTTAGATTAACATATGTTCTCAGAGAGAGCACACAGACTTTATAGTGCTTCAGACCTTATCAGTGAGGGAGAGTGTCATCATTTCCTATGTCTTACATATTTGTGGGAGATACTTCCACTAATTTAAGGCAAAATATGGTACGCTAACAGAGTTGACTCAAGATTTATGGACTCACATTTTTATAAGAAACAAATGTATTTTTAAACAATTTAATGTTGTAGGAAAATCCCTATTTAGGGCTTTTATACATAAAATGAATTAAATATTACTAAAGAAAAGTAAATTAAAATATTTTGATTACAAAGTGATACATGATGGAAAAAAACGGACTAATTCAGACAACAAGAAATCATGATATTCAGTTATATAAGAGACTTTTTACAGAAACTATTATATTGCTATGGACTGCAACATCTTGTACCTCAATGAGTAACTATTATATTGCTATGGACTGCAACATCTTGTAACTCAATGAGTAATGATTAATAAAAAATAAAACTATTGGAAAAAAAAAAATTATATATACACACATATGATTTCTCAAAGTTTGCCTGCCCCTGTGTTTCAGACGAAGGTGTCGGAGGGTGAGCCGGCATTTGCAAACGTGCAGGACGATGATGATGATGAAGATGCCCTTACCACAGAGGAGGAGCTGTGCTTAAGGCAGGACACGATGAAGGAGTTTTTCCTCCAGCAGCTGAAGGTCTTAAGAGAATCTGTGGT